ATATAATAAAAAATAAACCCAACTTGACAAGTCATATTGAAAATCAATAGAAAATCATGTTTTGATACCACAAATCGAACGGGCACTGCCCTTAATTGTAAAGGATCCACAAACACGTGTCAGAAGTCCATTTATACATGTATAAAACATTAGAGCTTGATTTCAATGGCTATTTGACCCTTTTGCCCCCTTATTAATTAATTAATAATCATTTTGCCCCGTATTCAGAACTATCTACCAATATGTCCCTCTTTAATCGATTAACTTGAAGATTTAATCGATTAAATGGTCAAAACTGGAAAAAAAATGGTTTACTTGGAGATTTAATCGCTTAAATCTTCAAGTTAATCGATTAAATCTCCCTCTTAATTGATTTAATCGATTAAAACTTATATTTAATCGATTAAATATCCCAAATGAGCGTGAAATCATTGATACCAACTCGTAAAATGACAACTCTTAATAAAACGCAATCAGCTCTTATTAAATACAAAACACAATCAACTTCTATTATTAAATACAAAACGCAATCAGGTCCTATTAAACTCAAGATTCGCAATCAACTCCTTTTAAATACAAAACGCAACCACCTCCTTTTAAATACAAAACGCAATCAGCTCCTATTAAATACAAAACATAATCAACTCCTATCAAATCGCAACAGGCAACAAAGGTCAAATCTTCTCCATAAACAAAAGAAGCTGATTGCAAATCTTGAATTTAATATAATACTTAGCAGAATCTTCAATCAGTTTTTCGTGCATTAGATGTTATTTGAATTTTGAATTTAATGTAATAGGAGCTGATTGCGTTTTGTATTTAATAAGAGATGATTGCATTTTGTATTTAATAGAAGGTGATTGTGTTTTGTATTTAATAGAAGGTGATTGTGTTTTGTATTTACTAAAAGGAGTTGATTGTGTTTTGTATTTAATAAAAGCTGATTACGTTTTATTAAGAGTTGCCATTTTACGAGTTGGTATCAATGCTTTCACGTTCATTTGGGATATTTAATCGATTAAATATAAGTTTTAATCGATTAAACCAATTAAGAGAGAGATTTAATCGATTAACTTGAAGATTTAATCGATTAAATCTTAAAGTCAACCATTTTTTCCAGTTTTGACCATTTAATCGATTAAATCTTCAAGTTAATCGATTAAAGAGGGGCAGATTGGTAGATAGTTCTGAGTAAGGGACAAAATAATTATTAATTAATTAATAAGGGGCAAAAGGGTCAAAAAGCCTGATTTCAATAAAAAATATTCGTGGATCCAAATTTGAGATGCCCACTTCTCCGGTTTACTTGAGTAAATGACCTAGTTACTCGAGTCTCGAGTAAGTGTTGGTCAAACATGATAAAAAAAATGACTGATTGATATGTAATTTTGATAAAAATGTTAAATTAACGTATAGTTTAAAAAGAGGAGTAAAGTGACAATTATTTTAAATTACAAGGGCACAATGGTCAATCATCCCGCGTCATACACAAATTACACATGAGGTGCGAGTTTTGCATGAAATACATTATTCATTGGGATGTGAGATTTATTGTATTATTCTAATAAATAGTTTCAAAAATACACTGGTAAGAATATATTTTCTTTTAAAAAAATTGCATTTATACAATCAAAAATTCAAAATCATTTTAATTTATACAAATTAAATCCACAAGATTTGCCCACAAAAAAAATCAACAAGATTTGTTTTGGCATGTTTACATTACTTTGATAATGTTTACCAAAAAACAAAATTACTTTGATTATATATAGTTTTGCATTTGATGTAAATTATGCAACTGTATTTGATTAATTTTTATTTTATCCTTTTGTAGCTATTTTTTTATTGGAATTGATGATTATAATTACATATTAATATATTTTGTGTAATACTTGCACCCAATAATATATCATCAAAAGTTTGCCATTTTAAGCAATTATTGATATAATCATATTCATTAAATGAGAGGTTAATAAACAATTGAATGACAATATAAAATATTTTCCATTGACAGTCTATCAAAATTACACTATTTTAATTGTTCAAAGCCTCAAATATGGTGGTTAATGTTTAACATTTTTTTGGATGAAATTTCATTTGATTTTAATTTATTATTTTGCAATTTTATCTCATTCATTATTAGAAAAGTCTTGAGGCATAGTTAGATTCAAAGTTGACTTTCGAATATTGCATGCAATCACAATAAGAAGGAAAAGGACTAATCAATTAAATTCAGGAAATTTCTATCAACATCAAATCTTGCATTAAAAGAAAATTTATGGGGCCAAAGCATTGAGACTAATCTTATTACTATTATTACTATCAACATTCTATCAATGACATAACTAATCTATCATCCTCTTGCAAAAAGGATCTTTTAGTTTTTTTTTTTTTAAATTTAAATCACAAATCAAACTTTTATTTTTTCTTTTATATTAAAAATTATAAATTTGGATTAATTCTTGTGTCGTATAATACACGTATCGTATCGTTCGGTACAAATTTCTTTCTGATACACCCCACGATACGTATCGCTGAGCTTGTGAATTGTCGTCGTATATCGTAAGATACTGATGACTATGGTCTCAAGTAATTTTTTTATTTGAAAGTTATTTAATTTTAATTAAATTTAATTAATCAAATATAGGTTAGTTAGTCATATTTTATATCTGCTTCATTTATTTGCCCATAAGATAATAAAACATAATTGTTGTTGACTTATATATTTCAAAAGTAAATAATTTTACATTTAATTATAGATTTCTTCTAATTTAAATTATGTTCCAATGTCATTTCATTTTGATTGATTGACTTTGTCTTTAATTCTATTGCCATTTTGTGAGTGTTTCTAAATGTTCTTGATTTTGATTGATTGATTTTAATTAATTACCGTAGGCATTAGAAGGTTGAAATCCTAAATATCTTAGAGGAAAAGTAATTCTATAATTAATATAAGGCATGAAATTTATATATAAAAACTTGACTTTATATAATAATGGAAAAAATATTTTTTTCTTTTAAATGACACAATTTATATTATTTCATTCTCACAAAGATGTGGGACTCACACCTTTATTTATTTTTTGTCACTATCTCTCTTCCATGATTTATCTCATTTTTCACTTAAAATGACATAATTTTACATTCTTTAAAAGGACACACATTTTTTCCTATAATAATATTATATTATATTATATTTAATATTGTAAAATGACAAAAGCCCTTTCTATCTTGAGGACCTTGCGTACTTGAAATCACAATAAAAAGGAAAAGGACTAATCAATTAAATTCAGCAAAAATTCTATCAACATCAAATCTTGCATTAAAAGAAAAATTATGGGGCCAAAGCAATTAATAAAAATTTATGGACTGTAAAGAAAAAAAATTTAATGCATACTATGTATAAAAACAAGAGAATTAATATAGGGAAATGATTTTCGTTCTTTTTCAGGAAAAATCAGTATCTCCTATAGATACATAATTTGATGGGTCCACAACATTAAAAAAAAAATTACGACTCAAATTTTGATGGATGGTGACATGAACATGAGAAGAGTATCGCCCGTTAATATATGACTATACTTAGAATCTGAGGTATGCATGTAGGATTGTGGGCCCTCTGTGAAATCAAAAACGTTAGAATGAGAGACATTCAAGAAAAATAAAAAAAAGTGAGCACTGAACTCTGAAGTCTGTGGTGGCTCACCTGACTAACCGTTTGCTGTCACCCCTTTCACGCTTATTGGCAGATACGCCAAGTTAAAATGCAAAAAAAGTCAAAAAAAAAAAAAAAAATGTAAAAATTTCACCTTCATGATAAAAGTAGGAATTTTAGTTTTTCAAAAAGAATTAATAAAATTGACTTTATAATTCTTCAAAATTATAATAAATTTTTTGCATTATCAAAGATTGATTTACTTGTCACTATATTTTTTTAGAAAAATAATTTTTTGTCTTATGATTTCATTTTAAGTGGTAATTTTTTTGTTTAATTTTTTACCATTTGAGTGTTGTTTTATATTATTATGCAAATATATGTGTTTATTTGTTATCAGAAAACTTGAATTATAGTTAACTTATTTCAATAATATAAGATTTCAAAAAATCAAATATTTTTTAATCTTTTTATTTCCCAAATAATTCATAAAAAATCCAATTAATCCGATTCCACTGATATAGAGAGCGGTTCTTACAGCATAAATTTTTCTATTTCCAATTTTAATACAGAAAGTGAGAAAAAGGAAGGAAATCAGAGAGTTAAGATAAAAACAAATACTAATAATAGCATTTTTTTTACTGTATTTATAATTAAAGATTACAAATATTTAAATTTATTTATGTAAAGATTTATAAATTAATAATTTCTTTTAAAAACAATCCTTAAATGATAATAATCTAAAAAGGAAAAAGTGTTTGTCATTTTAAATGACAGAAAGTTGTGTCATTTTAAGAGAGATACAGACATAGAAAATTTAAATTTTAAATTTAAAAAAACCACCCACTTTCTCCTAAAATGACATAACTTATGTCATTTAAGATGACAAACACCAAACCCTTCTAAAAAATTAAAAATAGACACTAAAGTAAAAAAATCTCTATATAATGATATGTATTATACATATTTTAATTTCTACATGGTCCCCACTTAAAAGTTGTATTTTGAAATGAAGTAGCTTCTATTTTTCTTTGAAAATAATTATTTTAAAATCATCCTTCAATTATAAATAAAAATATAGATTAGATGAATTATAAAGATAAGATTTTTCTCATTAATTGTTTTTTTTTTTTTGGTTTTTTTAAGAAAAAATAATATGAACAGGCCCAGTGATTAAGGAACACGCGGTACCAAAATTTTCTCTTACAAATACGAAGGCAAGGCGATGTTTTGGAAATATAGATAGCCGTTTCTCTCTTTCTGTCTTCATTTGATTGTGTGAATAGACACAGAGAAACTCTCACTGTCACATTTTTTCATAGCTGAACTTTGAAAATCTATGAGCATGGTTCTCTCTGGGTACTCTTTGTTATCTCTCTCTCCATTCATCTTTCTGCACATTGCTCTGTTTTCAAGCCTCTCTTTTGGTGGTGACCCAACTGTTTTCAATGAGTTTCGCGTTTCCTACACCACTGTTTCCCCTCTTGGTGTTCCTCAACAGGTTTTGTTCTTCGCTCTTCTCCCCTTCTCTTCCATCTGGGTCACTCTGCTTTATGCTCAAAATCACAAAAATGAGTTCTTTTTTCAAAACGGTTGTTCTGGGTTGCTATTGTTTTCTTTTGTTTTCCCAAAATGGTAACTTTTTTTTCTTTTTACCTTTTTTATCTAAAACTTCTCAATCCTCTCTCTCTCTCCCTCTCTTCGTTTTTTTCTCTTGTCTCTCCAATTTTTTGTGTTAGTATTTCTTAAATGTCAAGAATGCATTTGAAACCAATATTTGGGTCAATGGGTCAAACGTTTTCTATGTATAAGATTCAATTTTTTTATTTTTATTTTTCATCTTGTTTTACTTATGGTTCATTTTCTTGCAATAGTATCTTTTGAATATATTTGAAATAGTCTAGATTGAAAAAGCTGTTAACTTGTTCAAGTTTCTGATTTACACTATCTGTGTGAGATTGAAACTGGTTGTAGATTTGTAAGTATCGCCTTTGGGATATTTAATGGGGATTAGTGAGATTTTACTTATGTTTTTTTTTTTTGCTTCCATTTCACTTTTTGGTTATTTTCTTGTAGTTAAATGTTCCTAAAATTCTTTAATTTTTATTTTATTGAAGTAAATTTTTCTTCAAATATAATTTTCTCTAACATTTGAAAGGTATCATGAAGCAAGTGTTGATTTAGATAAGAATTTGGCTGACTTCAGTTTTCAATAAAATCTGATATTGCAGGTAATAGCTATCAACGACAAGTTTCCAGGACCCCTCCTCAATGTCACAACCAATAACTATGTATTTGTGAATGTGTTCAATGAATTGGATGAAGATCTTCTCATTACATGGTTGGTTCCATTGTTAATTGCTTTCTTTTCCACTTTATTTTCCCTCTTTTCATTTGTTTTATTGAAATTTAACAAATTTGTGACAAATGGTTGTGGCAGGCCTGGTGTTCAAATGCGGCGAAATTCATGGGAAGATGGAGTTCTTGGAACCAATTGTCCAATTCCTCCCAAATGGAATTGGACATACCAGTTCCAAGTCAAGGATCAAATTGGAAGTTTCTTTTACTTCCCTTCTCTTAACTTCCAAAGAGCCTCTGGTGGATTTGGTCCTGTTGTTATCAATAATAGGGACATTATTGCAATTCCTTTTGCACAGCCAGATGGGGATATTTTCATTATGATTGGTGATTGGTATACACAGGATCACAAGGTTAGTAATTGTTTTATGGTGTTAATCTTTCTTTGGTAAATAATGGACATAGAATGTCCTTGTGATTGATTTTTGGTTTCAATTAAGCATCTTTATTTGAAAATGTAGGCTCTAAGAACAACACTTGATAGTGGAAAAGACCTTGGAATGCCAGATGGTGTTCTTATCAATGGGAAGGGACCTTACCAGTACAACACAACTCTTGTACCTGGTGGTATTCAGTATGAAACAATTAATGTTGATCCAGGTACTATTATCTCTTCTTTTATATAGGGAATACACATTTCATACATATTATTCTCTTTTTCAAACTTATAATTATTTCATTGTGGGAGATTGTATGTTTTATACCCTCATTTTAATGGACATGTTTCCAGTTTGCCATAAATCATCTTCGCCATTGCCTTTTCATGTATACTTACTTTTATCATTTTCGTGCCTTTCATTGTTTCCACCGGATTCTTAAGCAGACTGTTTGATTAGTCCTTTCTTCACTGCAAAATAGTTTTGTTTTTGCTGCCTGAAAGGACCATATATTAATTTTCAGCTTCATTTCTTGATCGGCACTACCTAGCTGCATGGGTTTTTTATGACCACATTTCAAGTTATTTTTCCCCTTTAAATGTTGTAATAGATTTTTATCTAGCATTTCCCTGGCATGTGGTTGGAACTATTTGTATATTGACTTGAAGTACAAATGCATTTTGCAGGCAAGACTTATCGAATTCGGGTCCACAATGTGGGGATTTCAACCACTTTGAACTTTCGAATTCAAAATCATAATCTACTGCTGGCTGAAACAGAGGGAACTTATACATCTCAAAATAATTTCACCAATTTTGATATTCATGCTGGCCAGTCTTACTCATTTCTGGTTTCAACTGACCAGAATGCAAGTACAGACTACTATATTGTTGCAAGTGCCAGGTTTGTGAATCAATCATTGTGGCAGAAGGTTACAGGTGTAGCAATTTTACACTATTCAAATTCCAAGGGACCAGCAACTGGTCCTCTTCCTTCCCCACCAAATGATTTTTATGACAAGACCTGGTCGATGAACCAGGCAAGAAGCGTCAGGTTTGTTACTGAGAATCTAATGTCATAAAAGATTATTGTATCACAGGGATTGCAATTCGATGTTGCATTATGCTTTGAAATAATTTTCCTTTGGTTCATCCACAAATATTGTAACACAGCTATCTCGGTTTATGTATTTTGTTCATTATTTTTGATGATTTTGTATATCAGTGTTGAATTTTCCCTATATTGTTGAGCAGGCAAAATACATCTGCTAGTGGAGCTCGTCCTAATCCTCAAGGATCATATCATTATGGCTCTGTCAATATAACTGACACTTACATGTTAAAGGTTACGCCGCCGGTGACAATCAATGGCGCTAATCGAGCTACTATTAATGGGATCTCATTTCTTAAGCCTGACGTTCCATTCCGGCTTGCTGACCAGCATCAGTTAAGAGGAATTTATAAGCTTGATTTTCCCAGTAAGCCAATGAACAGATCAGCAATAATTGACAGATCAATTATTAATGCTACATATAAAGGTTTCATTGAGATTGTATTGCAAAACAATGACACCACAATTCAAAACTTTCATTTGGATGGCTACGCCTTTTTTGTTGTTGGGTAAGAATCCCTTTTCCTTGTGTCCTTAGAGTACAATACTGCTTGTCATCACAGTTCAGAAATTGATTTGATTTCTTGAATTCAGGATGGACTATGGTGATTGGTCAGAAAATTCCAGAGGTTCTTATAATAAGTGGGATGCAATTTCTCGCAGCACAACTCAGGTATATTCCTTAGGATATTGTCACTCTAAATTTACATGGTGATGATCAAAATTGACACCGATGGACCATTTTGTCCCTGTTTCAAATTTTTTTTCACTTTGCCCTTTTTGCCAAATTATATACCAATCTGTCCCTCTTCTTTAACTATATACCAATCTGCTTCTGTGTGACCAAAGTTTGATTGACACTTGAGTAAATGACTTACCAAGGACTAGGGTTTGGTCAAACTTTGATCCAACCGGGCAGATTAGTATATAGTTTAAGAAAAGGGACAAAATGGTCCATCAATCCAAAGTTAATGTTGGACATGGCTGTCTTGGTATTTTTTTATATTTTTTGCTTGAGGTTGATGATGGTGTTTGATTATTGTTAAAGTAATGTTAATTTTGCGGTATCTTCATCATTAAATAGGTTTTTCCTGGAGGATGGACGGCAATTCTTGTATCTCTTGACAATGTTGGGTCATGGAATCTGAGAGCTGAAAACCTGGACAGGTGGTACCTAGGCCAAGAAACATATCTGAGGATTGTTAATCCTGAAGAAAATGGTAAAACAGAGATGGCTGCGCCAGATAATGTTCTATATTGTGGTCCCCTCAAGAGCTTGCAAAAGTACCATCTAATACTTGCATTGACTTTGTTTTAGTCCTTTGTTTTTCTTCTTTATTTTATTAAATTTACATTCTTTTATACCTGCAGGTCGCAACCCCATACTTCTGCAGCTTCTACTTATGGACGATTCTTGAACCTTTTCACATTGTTCCTAGGACTCTTTACTGTGATTTTCACAAATAGCTAAAGCTTCTGTTCTACTTGTTCAGTTGGCATTTTTACAGTTCCCTATAGATAGGTTTATTGCTAAAATATTGGTCTAAAGAAAGAGTACTGGGTTTTATTTTTTCTATTGTTGTCATGCGTTGTACACATTTTTTTGTGGTTTAGATATTTTATCACCAATCTTATTAGGCTACTTGGGTTTGGTCATTCTTAATCAATGTTTGGTTTACAAAAGTATGAGTTATTCAAATTTTAATGCAAACCAATCTTTATTTTTCTCGAATTTTGTTGCATCTTTTGTTAAAAGTTTTGCGTGCCTCATTGGTATGATTCATTTGTAATAATTTCTGATCTTATTCTGCTGTTTGATTTTGCAACTTTATTTTGTGCCGAATTTGTTTACTTTTCCGTCCTCAAATGAAATTGCTCTACGGAATGTTTCTTCTGTTTATTATTAAAATGTTAAAGTGAGACATATTTTTGTGGAATGGTTTCAAACAAATTCACAAAACTTAATTTAGAAATCCAAATTGAAGTTGAAATAATTTAAGAAAATACAATCCCAGTTTCTATTTCAATTCTTATATGATTTGCTTTAAAGGTTGTTGTCGTATTTATATGATGACGATGACAATGTTAGATGTTTAGTGGCCTTTTTTTATTTTTTTGGGTAACAAGATGTTTAGTGGCGTTATTGACACATTCTATGTTTTAGGGATTCAAAATCACACAATATCCGCAATAACTAATTAGACTATAGTATTTAGGGCATGTTTGGTGCATAGTATAATATAAGGTCTGATAGTATAAGACCTGATAGTATAAGGCCTAATTGTATAAGACCTGATTGAATTTTAATACTATCCAGCGTTTGGCACGGTATTGTGTAAAATAATATATTGTATAAGATAATATTATCTAATATTTGGTAATGCACTGTATAATACTATATATGATAAAAATAAATATTTTTAATAAAAATATCTTTTAATAAAGAATTTATATAATTCTTCAAAAAATATCATATGATATTAATTTTTATAAAAATTCATTGAACATTGTGTTCTAAATATAAATTAATTTTTATAAAAATAAAAATATTCAATATTTTAAAATTAATATATTGAAAAATTAATTTTTATTTTAATAGATTAATATTAAAATAATATATTAATTTTTGAAAATTACATTGGTCAACTGTGTTAATACATCAATCTCTTATCAGGCCTTATCACTCACTCTTAGGTCGGATTAAGTTATACATCGTTTTGATGTATTAAGGGATTATGCTGTATAAGCTTATACTATATGATGGTCACACCAAACAACTGAAAATATCATAACATAAAGTATAAGCTTATACTATCATGCCTTATACATCACACCAAACAGGCCCTTAATGTTTAAGTTTTAGCAAGTTTTTTTTATTGTGTTTTAGCAATATTTTGTGTGAGATTTTGCTATATTCACACATAAATCAATGACAATTGATAGGCTTATTTTGGTGAATGTGTTTTAGCAAGATTTTGTCTAAGACTTGTTAATATTCACACATAAATCAATCACAATTGATAGGCTTGTTTACCTTCATAGTATAAATTCCAAATATATATATATATATGGCTTATCATTTCTTAAGCTGTCGGAGATAATTTATCTCCGGCTACTAAATTATAACCGTACAAAGATGGATCAATGGTAATGAATGAAGAGAGAGAAAAAAAGAATCATAACCATTCAAAGATAAATCAATCAATATAAGAAAATAAATAAACAAAACGACGTAATTTTGAAGTAGCCGGAGATAAATTTATCTCAGGTTGCCAGAAAAATGTTTTTCCCCTATATATATATATATATATATATATATATATATATATATATATATATATATATATATATAGGTAATGGATCTTTTCATGTTTAAATTTATAATTTTTACCATTATAGTAAAATTATTTCTCCAGCTGCTTGATATCCAACAATAACATGCGTATGATTATGATTTTACCTTTTGTATGGGTATGATTCCTAACTATAATCTAAAAATCATTAAATGTGGCATATGAACCAACAAGCAATATCTTTGAATTTCACATCCCTCTTGTAACTCTTACACGTTTCCTGTAATTAATTTATTATTGATTAATTCTAATTCAATTTATAATCAGTATTACGAAATTAATTCTGAAATGATTATCTAATATTCTTAATTTTAACTTCATCCTAACTGTAATCTAAAAATAATGTAAAATAATATATTAAAATTGTTTCTTCATAAATAAAATATAAAAGTTTCTCTTATCTCCTTCTTAACAATATTAGTTAATATTTGTTCATGTGAATTGATTTCTCGTAATATTAACATATTTTTTGAACGTACAAATGTTATTAAAAATCAATTAGCATGTGAATAAATATCAATTAATAATTGTTAATGAAAAGGAAACGAAAAAACATTTGTATTATAACAAAAACTGAATACATTATTTTGCATTTTAGATGTTGCTGGGCAAACTTAATAACCAATATTGTCCTTAAATTTTCCTTTCTCCGTTAATTTGTATTTTGTGTGATCTTCTATGTCTCCATTGATAGAAATTTAGAATCAATCAACCCTTAATTTCAGTATCCATTTTGTAATATTAATGACAAATTAAGTTGGAAATTTGGAATCAATCAATGATAACTTAATTATAGGAAATATGTAAAATTTAGAAGAAGTATGTGAGATCGTCTCTACATGCGCGACGTGTGAAATCATACATCAGATAAAGAATTTATTTCTTAAATACATCCAATCGGAAAATAAAAATTATAATTTGTACTCTAAAGGTCAAAAAGTCCAAATTGACAGCTCAAATCATAAGAAAAAAAAGTAATAAAATACACTAATTGAAAAAGGCGTTACAATTACTATTGTTACGAATCCCAATACAATAGCTTCAAATCTATTAATAAATACAAGACTTCTTCCTCCGGGTATAAATAGACTTAAGTTAGAATAGATTTTCACCTTAAATAGTTTATGCTTATATAAAATACCTTACGTGTTATGTGACTTGTTAGATTTATATACGTATAAATTATAAGTCTGATAGCTTAGGTCTTTTAATTTGTTTAAGTCTATTAATTATTTAATAATTAAAAAATAAAAAATATATTAATTTATTATTAAAATAATAATTTTATTTATTTTAATTGAAATAAATGCTCGACATATAAAAAAAAAGCTTAAGATGTACTTCTTAAATAGATTTTTTAAAAGCTTTGACATGTTCTATTTGACTATATGTAATCGGTCAAACCTATCTTGATATAGGCTAGGCCACTCTAATTCATTTACACCCCTAAGTCTCCCACCATTGACCGATCTTTTGGGTGTGGCTCTTCCTCAAGGTGTGAGATTGTAACAATACTTTTCAATTTTCTTAGTGATAGTATTATTATATTAAAATATTATTGGCCTGTAATTTTCTTATGAGATTCTAACAAATACTATACATTAGGTTGGCAAAACGGGTCAACCCGACTCAACCTGGCGAAACCCGCGTGCAACTTAAAAAAAAAAATAGGTTAGGGTTGACTCGAAAAAAAAAAGAGTCAGAAAATTTAACCCAACCCAACCCGAGTTGGATTAGGGTTGACTCAAAAATATGGCTCGTGGGTTGACTTGAAAAAAATAGCTCGCAAGTTGGCTCGAAAATTGGCTCGCGGGAAGACTCGAAAATTGCTCGCGGGTTGGCTCGTTTTCATCCTATTAAAATGAACATGTATTAATGCACCAGCTATGTGGCTTCCATTAACTTAAACAAATGGTTACAAAATTAGAAATAAAAGCAAAATATTCCAGTCTCGAATTTTTTTCACAACAAATTTGCATCAACATCAAGAAACAATCAGAACCACTTGTTACCAAGTGGTAAGATATTTGAACTAAACAGAGCCAGCACATCAACAATATAAAAATGACTCGGGTCGAGTTAGCTCGGATTGACAGTTCATTTTTGCCAACCAACCCGGTTCATTTTTAACAAGTTACGAGTCAACTCCTCGGATTAGCTCGTTTTTTGCACCCCTGCTATACATCATAGAAAAATAATAGAAATGGCTACGTCAACGTGAATTAAATTCAGGGAAAAGTACTTTTGATTTTGTTGTACATTTTTTTTTTACTAAATTCATATAAAATTAAGTGAATCCCATTAGTGAAATATGATAGGATCATTTATTTTTAAATGAATCTAGCAGAAAAAAAAAAATTCACAGCAGAAAACAGAAATAATTTTTCCTATCTTGGAAAATTGAAGAGGATGTTTCGCGCACGCCGGGTTTATAATTATGACAGAGAATAAAGGTTTGAAATTCAAGCCTCAACTTCTTGGTATAATTATTTTTGCACGATCGGCTTGCTAATTATTATCTTTGGGACTTTTTTAAAAAAAGTTCTTTACCATTTTTTCTATATTATTTTATGACTGAATGTAATGGTGTACTTTTATTTTATAAATTGAGGGCATTAAAGACAAAGAAAAAACAAACAATCACCACAAGACCAAAAAAAGAAGAAGAAACCCCAAGGGTAGCTCAGTTGGCAGCTGAGCTCCTAAGGGATTGCTTGGTGCAGGGATCAAACCCTGCCTCAAGCAGTTTCTTGGAAAATCTTTGGGGGCCAGAGGATAAGCCAAAAAATCTTCGGTTGGGGGATTAGTCTCGTCCTTTCTCCGGTTGCGAAACTTAGTGCACCCACTGTTACAATGAGGGGCTAGTCCAAACGGGCCGTACCCCGAGGGCATGGTGCCCGGAGAAGGTTGAATGGGGATACCTCCTGGCAATGTACCAAAAAAAAAAAAAAAAAAAAAAAAAAAAGAAGAAGAAAAAACTCATGAAGGGTAAAGAATCACTTCAACCCAAAACCTTAAGGTGTTAGGTGATGATTTTTTTTAGTGGTTTATATTATTCTCTAGCACACCCCATCACGGCAAGAGCCCTTTGAGGTGAGAAAATTTTTAATGGTTTATATTATACTCTAACATATTCCCGAGTCTTTTGGGCTTGAAACATGGATATTGCACAGACCTAATTTTTGGTTTACCTTGTTTTGTAATTTTTATTTAATTCCACTAGAAAGTGGGGGCGGTGAGGATCGAACTCGTGACCTTATGGTGATGATCTTTTTTAGTGGTTTATATTATTCTCTAACACGCCCCCTCACGCAAGAGCCCCTTGAGGTGAGGTCATTTTTGGCATTTTATTGGTTTATATTATTCTCTAACACACCCTCTCACGCAATAGCCTTTTTGGCTTGAAACGTGGATATTGCACAGGCCTAATTTGTGGTTTACTTTCTTTTGTGATTTTTATTTAATTCCATTAGAAAGTGGGGGACGATGAAGATCGAACTCGTGACCTTATTGTCACTGAAGCTCTGATACCAGGTAAAGAATCACTTCAACCCAAAACCTTAAGATTTTGGATGATGACATTTTTAATGATTTATAGTTGTGTCCAACTTGCACCACCATATGATTAGCATGCTCTAACTCAACCAACGATTCTACACCAGATCAGGGGGGTTGTGAATGTGAGCGTTCCTTTGTGCTGATTATTCAAATCAAATTTTGCCATAGAATCTGCACATTGATTGGCTTCATAATCAACATTCCATTGTTATCTCAGACAGTGCAAGCAAATGTGTGTGACCTTCAACCAGCAGATGCCATGTAACTATGGATATTGCATGGTTCCGTAGAGTCACTTTCAGATGACAGGTAACTCTAATTATTAGTGATAAGTGTCTCAGACACTATATTTTTATGGTTAAAAAGAGTTCAAATAATAATTAAAATAATTAAAAATATAGTGTTAAATAATAAAATAGTAAAGGAGAGTAAATTGACAACAAATAGATAAGATTATAATATTTGTTGTTGTTTCAGGTTGTTTCAGACTAGAATAATAAATTACCAACCTGATAAGGACGAGGAAACAGTTGGCATCAGCTGAGTATCAAGAAAATGCGAAATTAAAAAAAAAAGGTAGCGCTCGCTCCACTTCTCGTTGAAGCGAGCAAATGAGCGAACAAAGAAATACAGCTCGCTATACTCCTCGTCAAGCGAGGGAGTAAGCGAAGAGGAGAAAAAGCTCGCTGAGCGTAGTGACTCGCCTCCAACAGAGGGCAGCCTCTTTAAATCATCGATGTATTGGCGTAGTGACTCGCCCTTCTCTTGTTGGAACGCCCCCAAGGTGAAGGCAGACATGGAATGTGTTTTGCTGGTTACAAAATTTAGTAGGAACCTTTTAGCAAAGTCCTCAAAGGAGTCGATGAGTCCATACTCGCCCTTCTCTTGTTGGAACGCCCCCACGCGCCGACAGCTTCACCGACGCGTGGCCTCGAGTCTCCACCGTGGACCACTGCTGTTCTGATCGTCTCTTCATCCTCTTTCTGGATCTATGCTTTTCTCTCAGATCGGACATCATTTGGTATTTTTTTGTGATTTTTTGGCTTCTTGGTGTTATCCTTTGATTGTTTTTGTGCAGTATGGACTCTTCCGACACTGAATCAACTCTTGTAAACACAACTACAAATTTTTCTACACAATCTATGGTGACCCCTCTTGGTCACAATGATCTTCCTGCTCTTCATCAGAATTATCGTCTGAATGGAAAGAATTATTTACAAAGGTCCCAGGTTGTTCGTACCATTCTCAAAGGACGCCGTAAAGTTGCTCATATTGAAGGACTTGTTCCTGCCAAAATAGCTCTAACATTTGCTGATTGGGATGATGAAGACTCACTTATTATGACGTGGCTATGGAACTCTATGACTCCTGAGGTTAGTCAACATTGCATGTTTTTACCTACTGCTCTTGAGATCTGGAACGTTTTTAAGCAGACCTATTCAATGAAGCAAGATGCTGCCACTATTTATGATCTGAGGAATCAGATTTTTTCTACCAAGCAAGGCTCTCTCTCTATAACAGAATATTATGGTATTATGAATAAGTTATGGACTGAGCTTGATCAGTACAAGAATTTAAAGATGGAATGTAGCAAGGATGCAGCCACACTGACCACCTCCATTGAACGCCATAGGATCTATGATTTTCTTTGTGGTCTCAACTCAGAATATGACCCTATTCGAGTTCAAATTCTTGGCAAGGAAAAATTACCGTCTCTTTCTGAAGTTTTTCACATTGTCAGGGGTGAAGAAAGTTGCAGGGCTGTCATGATGGATACCAAAGTGTCCATTATGCTCTCATCTAAAGTTACTAATCCAACTCCTTCTGATTCTAATCCCACTGATGGGTCTGCTATGATTTCAACAAAAAAGGATTGTTTTTCTCGAAGGAATTCCTTTACAAAATTTTCTGATGGTGCATCTTCTAGACCTAAGAAAGATGATCGCTGGTGTTCTTATTGTAAAAGAACGGGTCATATCAAGGATCTATGCTTTCGCCTCCATGGAAAACAAACGGTCTTAGAAAAGATGGCAAGGATGCGTGGTCAAGCGCATTTTACTTCCTTTGAAATAGCTCATGCACCTAATGAGACCCAACCTGCATTCCGTCAAGATGAGTTGGAAAGGCTCCAAACCATCCTTGATTCTCTGAGTAAGCCATCTGATATTAATGCTTTGGCCATTACTGGTATGAGCTCCAAAACTTATTCTTTTCTTTCTTCATGTACTGATTTTAAATATTCTTGGGTTGTTGATTCTGGTCCTACTGATCATATGGCTTGTTGTGCTGACCCCTTTACTTCTTATCATCCTACCATTGGAACTCATACAATAGCCGTAGCTGATGGCTCACATACATCAGTTGCGGGTTCTGGTAACATAAACTTACAGCAGTCCTTACATCTTAAAGATGTTCTTCATGTTCCTAAACTCTCCACGAATCTTCTTTCTATTCATAAAATTACAAAAGATTTGAATTGTACTGTAACCTTCTTCCCTACTCACTGTGTTTTTCAGGATCTCGCCACGGGAAAGACGATTGGTAGTGCTAAAGAGCAAGGTGGGCTGTACTATCTGGTGTCACAATCTCCCGTCAATAAAGTAACGGATCACATCTTGCTGTCTCATGGTCAATCAACTGCTGATTCTTTGATTTGGCTTCATCATAAGCGTTTGGGACATCCTCCATTTAGTTTACTCAAGTCTTTATTTTCGTCATTGTTTTTGTCTAAGTCTGTTGAGTCTTTTCATTGTGATGTTTGTGAGTTTGCTAAGCATCATCGTGTGTCTTTTCCTTCTAGTATTACTAAAAGTGTTGAACCTTTTGAACTTATTCATTCTGATGACAAGGAGAAGTGTTGAACTTTTTTTGCTAAGCCCATTACAATTGGGATATAAATCAATTTTATGTGAAAACTTCTTTCCTCAATGGTGAATTAGAAGAAGAAGTCTACATGAAAATCCAGTCTGGTTTTGATTCTGTGAAGGGAGAAAATAAAGTTTGTAGATTAAAAAAGGCCTTGTATGGATTGAAGCAGTCACCTCGTGTCTGGTTTGGAAGGTTTACTAAGGTTATGATACCTTAGGATACAGACAGAGTCAAGGAGATCACACTCTTTTCTTCAAGCACTCCCGAAATGGGAAGCTTATTGTGCTCCTTGTATATGTTGATGATATTATTATCATAGGTGATGATTTTGTGGAGAGACAGATTCTGCAAACACGACTTGCCTCTGAGTTTGAAGTCAAAGACCTTGAGAAACTGAGATATTTCCTAGGGATAAAAGTAGCTCATTCAAGCAAAGGAATTTTTTTCAGCCAGAGAAAATATGTCCTTGATCTTCTTAAAGAAGCAGGAAAGCTCGGGTGTAAACCCTCTAATACTCCTATCAAGCAGAATCACAAGATAGGCTATGAAGAGAAGAGTCCTCCAGTTGATAAAGGACAATATCAACGGCTAGTTGGGAAATTGATATATCTGGCTCATACTAGACCAGACCTAACTTATGTTGTTAGTGTTGCCAGTCAGTTTATGCACGATCCAAAGGAGAAACACATGCAGGTAGTAGAGAGAATTCTTCAGTATCTTAAAGCTACTCCTGGTAAAGGATTGTTATTCCGACGTGATGACAATCTCTCTTTATAAGTCTACACTGATGCTGATTATGCTGGATCCGTGACTGACCGTCGATCTACCACTGGTTACTGCATGTTTCTTTGCGGTAACTTGGTGACATGGAAAAGTAAGAAACAAGATGTGGTTGTCAGATCAAGTGCAGAAGCTGAATTTTGAGCTATGGCTTAAGGCATTTGTGAGTTACTGTGGCTGAAAATTGTACTTGATGATCTCAAAATAAAATGTGAGGGAGCTATGAAGCTGCTATGTGATAATAAGTCCGCTATTTGTATAGCTCATAATCCAGTTCAACATGATCAGACTAAACATATTGAGGTCGACCGCCATTTCATCAAAGAGAAACTTGATAGTGGGTTGATTACCACTCCATACATTCCTACTGGGCGTCAATTAACTGATCTATTGACAAAGGGACTTCCTTCAGACAAATTTCAAGAACTTACTATCAAACTGAGAATGATAAATATCTATTTCTTAGCTTGAGGGGGAGTGTTGTAAATATTTGTTATTTACTTAATTATTATTATTTGTTGTATTGGCCAAGTCCATTAGGTCAAGAATTAGGTCTTTTATTCTCTATAAATAGAGATCTCTTTGTACATATTATTTACACAATTAATAATATTTTTCTAATTACCCTTTTCAAGTATAACTGTTATTTATACAAGAAATCGGAAGACACATTTTACTTGGGAAAAGGAAAAAAAAAAAAAAACAATTCAAATACCCTTGGCCATTACATTTAGCTAAGGTTTTTTTCATATGAATGAAAACATCAAACTCTTTGTTACCAACAACTTTATAGGCTTTAATCATCAGAGTTCTGGGAAGAATGGAATGCCAGTAGCTGGTAACCATGCTTGCCCTTCAATAAAATTCTCAACTGTGAATTTGGATGCTTCAGTTGCACTTGTTATGACATGGTAACCACCCCATTTCACTCGTTGACTAGTAGAAGCTCTTGGACCAAAATTCTTATACTCTCCATAATACAAAGTGTTGAGTGCAAAATTTCCATTCCATTCCAACCACCCTGCAGGGTCAACCAAAGTATCAAGGTAAGTATGTATAAACACAGTTCTTGAATACTGTTTCCATGGCCGACCCAGGAATGTTTTGAAGGAGTTAAGCATAGGGACAAGCTCTTGAGAAGCCTTAACACTTGAGTTTTGGATGGAAAAACCAGTGTTTTGATTAGGGTCTGTTCTGCCTTGTGCTGTTATAGCGTTTTTCTGTTTGCCCGTTGGTTTCCTTGCATATATGTTGCAGTTTTGGAAGACCACAGCTGCATTGCCAAAGATGAAATCAACTGTGCCATAAATGTAACATTCTTTGTAGAATTGTCTTTGGGAATGAACATAGAGAGTGTCTTGGTACCCTTCAAATCCACAGCGATAGAAGACAGAGAGGTCAGCACTAGAACGCAATGCCACTGCTTGATGGTTTTGTGGACCTGCAGTGTTGCGGAATGTGATGGCACGAGCAATGAATCCATCTCCTTTCACAGCTGAAAATTCATGGACATCACTTCAATATGTCAGATTTTTGGGAGAATTGATTAATGACTTGATATCATAACCTTCATGTGCCTTTACCTAATAATTTTGAGCTCTTTCGAGTGTTGTTTAATGACAATTTTAGACTAGAAGTTGAAGATATAGAAATATATAATTTTTGTTAAATGGATGAAAAATATCTTTAAGAAATTATATTGACTTTTGTGCGTAGGCCAATTGGACAAAAAGAAATATATAATATTCTCGTTAATTAGTTGAAAAGAAAAAAAAAATTGTCTTTAATATGACTTGAATTAAATGTGTTTTCAATCTAATTTGAGAAAGTGAAATTTGGTTCTATTATATTAAAAAGAGACAAAACTACACTATAAATCTTAGTCATTGATTCTTGTAAAGAACTAATTCAACCCAAAAGTTAAGTTTATAAGTAATGAACATTCAATAATTTTGTATTATATCTCTCTAACACACCCTCTTATGCAAAAGTCCTTTGGATTTGATCATGTAAAACAACCATCTCACCCAAAAACTTAAACTTCTAAGTGACAGTCTTCAATAATTTTATATTATATCTACCTTACGATTTTATTTCTAACTAACTCCTCACGAGACTAATGATGTAAGTAAATCAATTGTTACGATTTGATAGGGGTTTTAGTTTGTCCTTTAACATGATACGAAAAACTTTCCTACACACACAACATTTTGAGGAGCCCACACTTTTTAGAGAAAAAAAAAAAAAAAAAAGGCACGCAAAACGAATCCCTATAACATTACACGATCACTTTTTCTACTACATAACTCTTATAAAACCCTATTACTTTTATATGTAGTTAATGCTTCCTCTGTCAAACAAAGGAACTTCGCAGTTGGTGTTGTCACTTGTCACTGCAATGGTTAGTTTGATTATAGGCCCTCAGATCCTTGTGCATGAGGAGAGTTTTATAGCAACTGCAGCTATTTTTTCATGTCAAAATTGCAAGCATGAATTTTTTCTTCTTCATGAAAGTATTCAAACTCAAAGTGAGAAGAGAAGAAAAGAAAGCAGAAGGAAAAAGAGATGGAAAACACTTACCAACTGTTGCAGAATTAAAAGTGGTAGAACCTCCTCCAACACTTCGGCTACCTGTTATGACAGTGAGCCTCATACTATCACTAAACAACATGATATTCTTCAAACTCTTCCCAATGTCAAGGTTCTCATTGTAAACCCCGGGCTTAACATATATAACAAACCTCTTTCTCCCACTCCTCTTGGGAACTGCTTCCAAAGCTTCTTTGATGGTCTTAAAATTCCCTGAACCATCTTTTGCTACCACAATATCAGGAGATGGTGATGAAGACTGTAGAAGCGTCCTGTCACCATGTGACAGCCAGTTTGGGAAGCCATTTTTGTAACTGTTTTTATTCTCTTGTGTAGTTGATGAAGCATTGTTAAGAGCCAAAGTGTTGCTTATGATCTCTGATATATTCTTGTTTGGAATGAGGGTTAGAACATTGTTGTCAACACCAAGTTCTACAAACCCAGTTTGGCATGTGTCAAGGTTTGTTAGAGCAGTGCTAAGCCATGTTTGGAGATCATAGCTAGGGCTATTCCTTGTAGGGTTTAGGGTTTCGTTAAGAATGCTGATGGTGTCTTCATAGAGATTCAAGCAATCACTCCATGCTGCCTTTTCTTGCTTGCTTCCACATTTGGAGCCTAACCACTTGTTGTGATTTTGGGCTTTCACAGATTCATCCATAGCAATTCTTAGGATGAATTTCTTGAATTCAGATGCACTTTTTGGGAAACCATCTTGAAGGAGGTAATGGTTTCTTGCAAAATGCTTGCATGTTTGTGGATGTGGGGTTTTACTGCACCAAAATTCAATGGCATTATTAGAGGAAATTCTTGAAAGGGCTTGAGAAAACAGAGAAAACAGGGATATGAAGACTATGATTAGCCCAAGACTTTTGGCCATTGTTGCTGATCCTTTTTTGAGCTATGTACTAGTAGAATGAATTAATGGTTATGAAATTGTAAGGGTTCTTATATATGTAGTTTAAAGATTAACAGAATCAAATGCAATGTGGTTGTTACAGCCGGCCATTTTGAATATATGATGGTTTAACATCCATAAATCTAACAAAAATTTGTTTGAAGATTGATTATATATAGTGTAATACAGTTTTTGGATATGTGACATATAAATATATGTATATTATATAGACATTTATCTCATGATGAAGATTGAAGGCTGTGTAGATATATCACTATATCAGCTAGCCAGAGCTATATTAAGTTGACTTTGCCTGTTATACTTAAGTAGATTTCTTGGGGTTGCCAAAGGACAACAATCTCTACGATTGATTGGATTAAAATACTTTTAAGCACACAATCATCATAGAGTTGCATGCATGAAATGCACCTTTGTTACATATATTCATGCGTTATATCGCTTAAATTTTGGTGAAAAACAGATTAGAAAAAAAAAAAGCTAAGGGAATTTATTTAAATTTCAGAGCGCAGTTAAAATAATACAAAGTGTTGATTTCTTAGATTGAATCTACCCAACCATCATAAGTTGTTGTTTTCCTTTGTGATGTGAGAAAAACTCTTAAAAGAGCCAATATTTGGACTAAGAAAGAAAAAGTAATTTCCTAATTATATGTCCTTTGAAACATTGAATAACAATTTACAAACTAGTATATTAGATTTCAAACAAATGTAGAATATCCATCAACAATATTACAAAGATATTTCAATAATGTAATATATTTCTCTAACAGTGTACAAAAGAATTAATATTGCATATGATTTTACACAAACTATAATATAAAAAACAATTGATGTAATATAAGTGTAGCTATAGCACAAAGATCAAAGGCCTGAGGTAAATGGCACAGATGTGGTAGGCAACCATGTAGTGCCAGAAAGAAGGCCAGTAACTGTAAACTGTGATGCAACAACTGGGCTTGTTATGAGATGAAAACCTGGCCATTTTACTCTATTGGCTGTATTTGAACCAGGCCCATAATTCTGATACTCTCCATAATAGAGTGTATCCAAAGCAAAATTAGTACCATCCCATTGAGACCAACCCAATGGGGTCACCAATGTGTCAATGAAAGTCTTCATGACCACTACTCTAGAATATTGCTGCCAAGGCCTACCCAAGAAAGTGTTGTATTTGTCAAAAACGGGCTTAAGATCTGGTGCAGCCATGATTCGAGAATTGTGGATTGAAATTCCAGTGTTTTGAAATGGGTCATCTCTACCTTGGGCCGTGATCATGTTTGCTTGGCCATCTGAAGGCTTTCTTGCATAAATGTTACAATTTTGAAACACCACTGCTGCATTACCAAAGATGAAGTCTATGGTGCCATAGATGTAGCATTGTCTGTAAAATTGACGCTGTGCTTGAACCATGAGGGTGTCTTGGTAACCTGTTATCATGCACCGGTAGAAGACGGAGAGGTCGGAGGATGACCGGAGCGCCACGGCTTGACCCTTTTGAGGACCGGCGGCATTTTGGAAGGTAATGTCTCTTGCAATGAAGTGAAGGCCATCTATACCTGAATTTGAATATTTCAGCGAGTAATGATTTAGAAGTTAGGAGAAAAGCATAAGAGTACTATGATATGAGTATTATGAACCGCATATATCTAATAAAGAAACTTTCATATGATCAATTTTATTTTTTTTGGGTTAATACATATGATCAAATTTAGTCATATGTTCTTGTTACTTGTAGCATTAATGGGTTTTGATTGTAGCATTAAAGACAAATAGGATTACAATCGCAATGATTATTTTTTGGAGAATACTATTCAAATTTTACATGAGCAGTTCTTTCATGATACAAAGAGAAGCCAATTAGAGTCCATCATTAAAGGAAAACAACGAATTTTTTTTTCAAAATGACAGAACATGAGATTAAATTTTTTTTTTTTTTTTTTTTTGGTAAGTACATGAGATAACTATTTTATGTAAAATGAGAGTGATATTTTTTTTTTTTATGCTACAATGGTAATAGTTATGTAGTGTCATTAACTGAAGACATCACTTTGTGATCATTTTAAGATGTAAAGCTATTTTATGTATTCCGTAAATGTTTATATATGATAGCAATTATAAGAAAGGACGATTATTTAAAACAAAAAATGATACAATATCTAACACAAAATTAGATAATCATGTAAAAGCTTGCGGTTGGATAAATCAAAATTACTTAGTCACATGAATATTGGTCTTTAATATTTAAAATTCTTGTTGGGATATATATTTTAAAAAAACAATTGAGGCTTTCATTTCTTTTGGAAAGAGTATAACCAATTAGTATTCAACAAGGTGCCGTAAGAGACAAGTAACCTCGGTTTGAAGATGAAGCGCTGAATATTCCACTTTGAAAGCCTCAAATTGATATTTTTTGTTATTCCTTAATATGGAATCCTGTATATCATACCTACATATGTTAATGGAAAATTAATTATTAGTTAACAACATGTTCTTCTTCTTTTTTTCTGGGAAATAACGTGTATTTCTTGATTAACCAAACTATAATTTTATTCAATATCATTAGAATACTCAGGAGTCAGGATTTCATGTGGAGATGGAACATTTCCCTTAAAATATAATGAAAACTCTGTTAAATGAAATCTTTGCTTGCAGAGTTTAGAAGACAGATTGCATCTATTGATAGGTCTAACAATATGAACCTGGGATAACATCAACAAGTAATTTATCTAGAAAAGAAGAAAAACCAATATTTACTATAATATATGAGCATTAAATTCTTGAATTGAATGCACTGGGTTAATATAATATTACTTATGCTAATCATTAATTTACTACGATAGTCAATCATTAATTAATGATGTAATCAATGATTATCTGATCTGGTGCTAACCCAGGTATATGCAAATATATTGTAAACAGAACATAGGAAGTGAAAGAGAAAGGAGATGGAAAATCATTTACCTGCTGTTGCAGAACTATAAGTTGTAAAACCTCCTTGAACATTTCTGCTACTTGTTATTATGGTATTTCTCATCCCATTACCAATCAACATGATGTTATCATTGTTCACTGCAACCTCAATGTTCTCTCTATACACACCTTTCTTCACATGTATCACAAACCTTGTCTTGTTTCTTCTCTTTGCAGCTGCATTAAGAGCCTCTTGGACACTCCTAAAATTTCCTGAACCATCTTTTGCTACCACAAGATTTGCCTTTATAGTTGAAGACTGCAACAATTTCCTCTCACGAGTTGAAAACCAACTTGGAAATGCTTCTTCTGTTGTTTCTGTGTGCTTATTATGTTCATTTTGCTTCAGGAAATCCATGTTGATTGCTAAGCTATTCCTTATCAGCTCTGTGACATTGGTTCTCACATTTGACACCATGAAATCTTGAACACTGAGTTCTTCAGCCCCGGTTCGACACGTTTGAATGTTTGTAAGAGCAGTGCTTAGCCATGTTTGTGCATCAACAGGTGAACAGCTTCTCTTCAGATCATGCAAGCCTTCAAGGGTACGGTTGAGATGGAAGATGGTGTTTTCATAGAGCTTTAAACAATCACCATACACAGTTCTATGCTTCTTTGTCTCCATGTTTTGTTCAAATTTATGTGCTTCCTTTTGCATGATAAGAGATTGCTTTAAGGCCAGTTGAACAAGCATTCCCCTGAATTCAGTTCTGTGTTTGATTGTGAAATGGTGATTCATTTGACCAATGTAGTATTTGCATGGCTTAGGGTGTGGGGTTAGGTTGCACCACCAATCTATGTTGCTTGATGAATGTCCTCTTCTTGATGAGGCTATTGAGAAAACTGAACATAGCAATAAGACTATGAGGAATATCTTTCCCAGGATCATCATTTTTTAGTGAGGAATAAGAAGAATGAGAAAATTAACAATAAGAGTTAAGTTTGCACCACCAATGTATGATGTTTTTTGTTTACTGATTTTAGGTGTTAATATTGAGCACTTATATATGTATATTTCTTAGGTGGTGGAGTGTGAAGGTAAGAAACGTGTGTGCTAAATTGAAAATGATAATGAAGAATGACACAGATACAAACTGCGAATGCAATTGCAAGAAAGAATAAAATCTTATCAGTTAGAGAAATTAATGTTACATATATTAATGGCTTAATAGCTAGGTCATAGAGTAGAAGTCTAATTGTAATTGCAAGAAAAACAAATGTTGCTTACTTAATTATCAATGTACTGGTGACGGCTATGATTTTAGAAACACACGATTAAACAAAGATTTTGACGAAAATGGTTGTGTTGGCCTTAAGTGTTGTATGCTATAGTTCCATGTGCATGCACAATGTTGCAAAATAAAATTGTATATATTATACTTCCTTACGCAGACTTCTCCAAGCATTGGGGATGGAACAGTTTCTTTGAACTTAATAACCATTTTCACCTGGTAGGCTTGTTTTTGCATGCGTTATGTTCAAGCATATATGAAATGTTAGGGTAACCCATGTGCTGTAGTTTGTAGAATAAGCAAAAGAAAATTTTCTTTTATAGAAAAAATATGGATGATTTTGACAAAACATTATGATCTCGATGATATTGCTAACGTTAATGTATCAACGCGTTTAATATATATAATTTGTTTAATTTTTATATGTTTGATGATATTGGTTGGTTCCTTTCTTTTTACTTTTTGCCATAGTCTTCCGAACATTGATAGCAGAGCAAAAGTGCTTAATTTAATTGGATGTTTGAAGATTTGGCTGAGTCATAATCATAAAATGGGCGACAAAGATAAAGACTCATTAATCATATAACTAATTCCTCGACATATCAATAATGAAATAACTTTGTACTCCCAAAAATATAACAAAATTGCACAGCAAAAATTTATTGTTTTATCAAATTCCATAAAAACAATAATTGAGAAGAACACATTGTAGAAAAACAAGAGACGAATAAATCCGTGTGTATTGGCACAGCGGAGGATATAATATATATAGAGTTATTGGTAGGGGTGTTCATCAATCGATCTAAACCGATTCAAACCGCGGTGACCGAACCAAAAAATCGAAAACCGAAAAATTGAAGATTGAAAAAAATCATAAAATTTAATTGGATTGGATTGATTTTTGGATGGGTTCGTGAAAACTGATCCAATTATTCTCCAACCTTACCATCTACCTACTTTGGCCTTTCCTCAACCATAGTCCAAAAACCATATAGCAAAATTCTAAATCCAAGACTCATTAACCCATCATGTTGGAGAAAGTGGGTTGTGTTTGATCTATGTTATGTTTTTTCTTCTTTTTTTGATAAGATAAATAATATATTTTTATTATATAGGTTATTGTTGTATAACTGCTCCTCTATAGGATGAAAATTTGGGTTACTTTGTATCTCAGGCAATTATATTATAAATTTTTTGTTGAAAGTAAAAGATGATAATTTAACTTTTTGTTGTACAATGCTTCTAGATTGCACAATAATCATCATATAAACTTTACAAAGCCGATACATATAAAGAAATGTTATTTTCCAAATAATCATCATATAGATCTTAGGCTTTTCAAAAAACTGAAAACCGATCAAATCCAAACCGAATAAAATTGGATTGGATCGGATCAGATTTGAGAAAAAATTCAAACCAAATATGTGTTTACATAATTAAATTGAAGGGATTGGATCAGATGATTTTTACTTCCAAAATCGATCCAATCCATACCGCGAACATCCCTAGTTACTGGATACATACAAACTAAGAAATACATGATGTGAGACTAAGCCTATACTATTTCTACTTTATATATACAATACTTCCCCTCAAGCTGGAGCGTATATATCATAAACACCAAGCTTGTTACATGTAAACTCTATTCGAGGACTCCTCAAAGACTTTGTAATACATCTGCTAATTGATCATTAGAGGTTACAAAACTCGTTATAATTTCACCAGTAAGGACCTTCTCTCGAACAAAATGACAATCTATTTCGATATGCTTGGTTCTTTCATGAAACACTGGATTGGAAGAAATATATAGTGCTGCTTGGTTATCGTAAATGAGAGTTGCTAGTCCAGTGTCTCCAAACTTGAGCTCTCTAAGAAGTTGCTTAAGTAAAATGAGCTCGCAAGTTTGTAGTAGTAGCCATGGAGCGATACTTTGCTTTAGCACGTCATCTGGCAACTACATTCTGCTTTTTACTTTTTCAGGAAACCAAGTTGCCTCAAACGAAGACACAATATCTAGTAGTAGATCTCAGATCAGTAGGACAACCGGCCCAATCAGCATCAGAGTATCCAACAACTTTAACATGACCTTTATCTTCATATTCAAGGCCTTTTCCTGGAGATGCCTTGATATACTTGGAATGCGAATGATGGCATTCCAGTGTTCTTGTCATGGAGAATTAAGAAACTAACTTACCATGCTAATTGCAAATGAAATGTCATGCCGAGTGACTGTGAAATAGTTCATTTTTCCAACCAATCTTCTATACCTTTCAGGATCTGAAAAGGGGATTTGGTAGAAGCTTGACACTTGGATCCATAAGGGTATCAACAGACTTAGAATTTAACAAAACAGTCTTTTCAAGAATATTCAGAGTATATTTCCTCTGAGATATCACAACTCCATCTTTAGATTGGGTCACCTCGATTCCCAAGAAATATCAAAGTTTCCCAAGATCCATGGTCTGAAAATGTGGATATAAATGATGCTTTAATTGAGAAACCCATGATTATCACTACATGTGATGACAATATCATTTACACACACTACCAAGTAGATAGACCCGGAAGCTGAATGACGATAAAAAAGAGAATGATCAGCTTCACTCTGAGTCATATCAAATTGTTGAACAACACTGCTAAATTCGTCAAACCAAGCTCTTGGAGATTGCTTGAGACCATATAGAGATTTGCGGAGACGACAAACAAGTCCTAACTCCCCGTAAGCAACAAATCCAGGAGGTTGCTCTATATAAACTTCTTTTGCAAAATCACCATAAAAAAAAAAACTTTCTTAATGGCAATGATGCAGAGACGATATAAGAACAAAAGAGATATCCAAAAACTGACAATGAGACAGTATCTGGAAATTTTTTTTGGAAAAGATGATAACAATGGGTTTACCGAAAAAAAATGAATCAGGATTTCTCTCGTTAGGCTCTAGATACCATGTAGAGAAACAAGAGATGAAAGGAACATAATAATAAATCCATGTGTATTGGCATAGCAGATGATATAATATATAGAGTTACTTGGTACCTACAACCTAAGAAATACATGTGGGACTAGGGCTATACTATTTCTACTTTGTATATGCAAGACACATAATTATTTATTCTACATCCTATACTTTGTTTTCAAAAAATAAAAGTATCATCTCCTATAAATCGTTGAAGAGTGAGCTTATGCTGATAGTTTTTTAATAATTCAAAGGTAGTCTTTAAAGTTTGAACCTAAAAATAGCTTTAAATTCGAACATGATAACGGAGAAAATAATTTTACAACAGCCGCTTCATATGAACTCGATAAAACTTAAATCAAATTAATCGGATAATTATTAAATTAGTGCGGAGAAATTAATTAAAAAAAAACTTTAAAAAAGCTAGGAAAAAAAAAAAGACTTCGATCCTTATCTAAAACAAGTCTCTTTCATCCGTTGTTACTTTTTTAATTTCACTTTTCTTTTCATAAATTCATTTTATAGTAGTCCCTTTTTTCCACCAATTTTCAAATAGTAATAGCTTATGAAATCAAATGATTTATGTATCTCCTATATATCTTAGATGAGTAATTGAAACACAGATAGACATCTTGCTGTACATCCTGTACTAGTTTGTTGTTTGTTTACGTGTAAGGCATAAACGCAATAAAATATCTAGGTTTAACATTAGGGATATGATCCGTTTACAAATTTTTTTTGCAATTACACTAAGTAGGACCGGTCGTACACTGTGTGATTAATGTAGGACCGGTCCTACTTAGTGTAGTTTGTAAACAAAAAAATTTGTAAACATAACCTGCCCCTTAACATTAACTATATATTTTAGATTTTAGGTTTTAGGTAATCCATTCAAATATAGATCTCTATTATCTCATGTGACAAAAACATGATAGGGTTATATGGGAAATCATAACTATACAAAGATGCATCAATGGTAATAAAAAAAGAGAAAAAAAAATAATTATAATAGATAATTACAAAATCATAACCGTTGACTTATCATCTATAATTGTGATTTTCTCACATGACGATGTCATGTATTTTTCCACATGAGATGATCAATTTCCATAAGTAATATATATTTAGCATTTTTTATTCACTTTCCCTTCTGTCTTTCTTTTTTGACAACTCTATTTATCTCAAATTTCCTTGTCATCCTTATGATGGCGCCGAGAAAATCTTTGATATATTAAATGTAAATATATCTTTGTCTAATAGAGAACGTTTTTGAGATTTAATTGAAAAAATAGAAAAAAGCAGAGGATTTAAATGAAAAATAATTTTTTCATTTGGAAAAAAGATGTACCCGAGTGATGCATCCATGTATAATTTTTTTTTCCTCTTGAGTGATCTTAGATTCATAAGACAACATTTTCTTTTTAAATGATCCACACGTAGAGCCAATTATAATGCTATTATGATAAACGATCAACTCGTTGCGGCAAGCATACACGTGTCAATGTTTCGAAAGAGACTTATGAATTCGGCCATAAAATCGGAGTCAAACCTTGCCAGGAAACCCATCATCTTCAAATTCAAAATATATATCAACTTAGTAAGAAATACACGGAATTATTCATAGAGACGGCAAGCCGGGTCAACTTTCTAATCTGCTTAATTTGGCGGGTTAGATAACATTTCTCAATCCGCCTCATATGATGG